CTTCCTAGAGTTGCCGATGGCCTCCCGGGCTCTGCCACACACCTCGCGGTCCCCAAGCCTCACCTTCCCGAACTGCCCCTCGGCCTCGTGTGCCTCAGTGTCTTGGGGCTTGTGTCCCTCCCTGGGTCCCCAGCTGATGTACCCTCTCAAACTCTGCTCCCCGCAGCCAGACAGGGCTCCACCCACCGCCTCCCCGTGCCTGGGTCCCTCCTCTGCTTTGCTGGAGTGGATCCAGATGTCACGTTCTGGGAACAGGCATCAGCCGGTTGTTGGCTGTTACAAAAACGATTCTGTTCTCTCGACTGCTGGCCTCTGTGCGCACAGAACTCTGGGGGCGTCTCTCCAGTGTGCTCTGTCACCCAGGTGGCTGACCGGCTGTCAGGCACCTCACTGCAGGGGCACGATGGTGTCTGGCGACCCAGGACGTGTATGTCCGGTCTCTCCGAGGTTGCAGTCAACCCACAGAAAGCAAAGGGACAGGCCGGGCGGGATGTCGGTGCCTGAAGTGCCGTCTAACCTGGAGGTGTCTGCAGGGTTTCTCACTCTGTGACTGTGGACTTCGAGGTCTAAGGATGAGCCATGTGCTCCCCGGGAAGCAGGCGGGGAACCTGGCGATGGTGGAGGCGTGGGGCTGGTGACTGAGAGACCTGGACAGGTGTCATCCTTCCGTGAGGGGATGGGAGCTGTGAGCACCCACCCAAGGTGTTCAGCAAGTGAGTCACGCATCCTGGGTGTAAACAAATGTGCCCAGGACGCGTCAGGCCGAATGAGAAGCCCCCGACCCGGCAGCGAATAGAAAGGGCAGCTGCCTCCCTGAGCCTCTGTTCAACGCAGGGCAGACTCCTCCTCCGTCAGCTCGCGGGCCCACACGCAAGGCCATGGATGTTCATCGGGGAGGAAACAGATCAATTGTCCTAGTAGGACCGGGGCACCAGCTTGGGCGAGAGCTGGGGGCTCTGTGTGACCCAGGGACCCTCGTGGGGCCTCCGATCACAGCACACACTTTTGCTCCCCAAAGTGGGTTGGGGAAGCGCCCCACGGAGGCACTTTCTGTTGGTGACAATGTGGCCCCGGTGCCGGGGGCTGGGCCAGCGTGGAAGCAGGAACAGTGAAGGTGTCTCTCCCCACCGCCCAGGTGCCCCAAAGGGAGCAGTGTCCTGCAGCAGTGCAACTCCACGGCAGACACCGTGTGCGGCCCGCCCGCTGCAGGTGAGGGTCGCTGTCGATGCGGGGGGTGTGCGCGGAGGTGAAACCTGCGTGGCCCGAGGTGACCATTCACAGAGAGCCGTGCAGTTCCCACACGTTCACACCGCCCGTGGCCCAGCGCGGCTCCCCTCGGCCCCCAGCGACCCTGGAGTTAACTTTCTGTGACAGGCGTCCCTATTCAGGACGTGCCACAGACAGGGAACTGAATGGCATGCGGCCTAGCGTGTCCACCAGGCCCCGGGCGGCTGCGGGACATGCTGGGGCTTCGCTGCTCTGTGGCTAAGCAACGCTTGGGCACGTGTGCTGACTCTACTGCATTTGTTGACCTGCTAATGGACTTCGGGGAAATTTATAAACAAACCCCTGAGCCCAGACTGCTCTGTGACAAGGACAGTTTTTCCACATAGGGTGTTGGGGACACTGGATGTCCCCATGCCCAGAAGGAGTCAGACCCTCACCTTACACCAGACACAGAAATTAGCTCACAGTGGACCAAGACCTAACTGTAAGGTCTAAAAACCGTAAAACTGGAGGGGAACAGGGGACGTCTCGTGACATTGGTCTGTGCTTAGGTTCCACAGGAAACAAAATCAGGGCTCTGGTCTCCGTGTCTGACTTACGCGCGGAGCTCATGTCCCCCGGTCCGTCCGCCTTCTTACAGTGGCAGGAATCCTGTCTGTGGGTGGCAGGGTTCCAGTGTGTCGTGTGCCTGCACGCACACAACCTCCGTCCGTCCGTCCGTCCGTCCGTCCCACTGAGGTGGTTTCCGTGCCAGGGCCCGGTGAGCGGTGCCGCCGTGGATGCGGGGCGCAGGCCGCCTCTCCCGAGGGCTTTCCCAAGGGCACTTGCGGGTCTGTCTGTACTCGGTCTTGTGGCTGCGGAGGAAAAATACGTCGGCTTTTGACCTTACCAAGACCCTTTTAATTTTTCCCAATTTCAGAGAGCAGAAGCCGGGTCGTTCCGTTAGGCAGTTTAATCGTGGTGTGTCTGGGCATCATTTATCTCGTAACCAAGAAACCAGGAGACGGAGGGTCGCAGCCCACACACGGTGGGCTCCCTAACGGTGTGAGCGTCGAGTTAGAGCCATTGAACGGGGGTGAGTGACACCTGGGCTGGGGGCAGGGGGGCCGAGTCGGGGCAGGGCCATGCTTTTGCTGGGCCCCTCCTGGTCCTCCCCGCTGAGGCTCCTCCCCGCCACGGAGTGGCCAGAAGGGAGAACAGCCTGGAAGCCATCACAGTGCTGTCTCCGCAGAGCCCCTGCCCCTGAGGCGGAGGCACGGGCCTGGCTAGATTTGGGGTCCCTAAGGCGTGAATGGGGTGCGAGCTCCGTCTCCTAGCGGACCTGGGCCGGCACATGGTGTCGGGCGGGTCCATGGGGAGGAGCCGGGGGCTGCTGTGCTGGAGGGCGCTGGGTGTTCTCGGAGCACAGAGACACAGGCCCATTGGAAGTTTCTGAAAGTTGTAGAACCGAAAACCTGGGGGTGGCAGGGGGTGGGGCGGGGAGCAAGCCCACCGGGCCCCTCCCTGCAGCTTCCCTGGCAGGATCCCTGGCCGGGGGGGGGGGGGGGGGGGTGCCATGGCTTCCCAAGCCAGCCCCTCACAGAGAGGAGTCTCCTGGCAACCTCCTCGGGACCACTGTCTGTCATCTGTCTCCACAGGATCCCCGGACCCAGGAGGAACCCTGGTGAGTGCCATCCTGGGGTGCGGGCAGCTCCTGTCTTGCCCCAGCACCTGCAGGTCCTGACCCCGCCTCCCACCCGAGGTCAGGCCCACCCCAAGTGGGGAGGTGGTCGCACCAGCTTCAGGAGCCCCTCACTGCCTGTCAGGCAAACTCTAGCCCAGGGCCCTGAACTGGGGAAGCCTCAGGCTCTGGAGGACTGTTCACCACGGGGAAACTGAGGCACCCACCAGGCCTCCCAGGGCCTTGACAGAGGGCAGCCAAGCTGGCAGTGAGGGCAGAGCTGAGGCCAGAGTCAGCCCACCGAACGTGGGCCCCTGGGCCCCTGTCCTCCGGGTCCTCACCTGAGAACTGAGCGGGGGACCCTCCAGGCCCCACGACTGGAGGCCTCAGCCTGAACAGTGACCTTTTCATTTGCAGATCGACACCGATGTGCCACAGAAACATGACCCATCAGTCGCCTCTCCCGCACCCCCAGCGGGGGGACGTGGCCTGCAACCCAGCATGTGCCCTCACAGGGAATCAGACCTGTCATAATGGGGCACATCCAGGGTCCCCCTAAAGCGCGTTTGTGAGGGGGTCCAGGAATGGGAGTGTCCAAGAAAAATACTTTCCCCCCACCCCAGGGCGGGCCGCCATGGGGGATGGGAGCATGGAGCAGGGCCATGGAGTCATTTTGCTTGTCCGTACAGGACAGCTACATTCCTCTTGCAGAGAGGGTTATTTTGCATATCGCCAAGGTTAATCAAGAAGGTTTAAAAGACTCAATACAGGCTAACTGGGGGAGGGAAGAGGAGAGACAGGAGCCTGCAGGAGAGACAGTGGGACGCAGACTCTGGGGAACAGTGTGAAGACCACGCGGGAAGAAGGAGGGGAGAAAGGACTCCTGCTCGTGGGCCAGGAGAAGGTGCCACATGGTTATGGATTAAGAGCCGGAGATCGCGGTGACGCAGTGGCTGGTGCTGAGAGTCGCGAGAGGCCTGCCCAGCCGAGCCCTGGACTCTGTCCTTTTTCTTCTGGAGGACGGTGCCCCCGACTGGGCAAAGGGGGGAAGGCAGGACTGTGTGTGTGCTGATGATTCTTTTAGAGGGCTTTTGAGATGAGTGACATTTAGCTATTCATCAAACCTGTATAACTTTTGAATAAATAGTTCCTTTCCTTTTCACCAAACTGCCATTCAGAGCCATAATTCCAAGGGGCCTCGGGGAAGGGGGGTAGTTTTCCGTCATAGCATCTGGGCGCCCCCCCGCCCCCCCCCCCCACACGTGTTTATTTGTTCGGTAACACTGACCTTTCATTTGCCAAAAGACAATGCACTGAGCCAAACCAGCCTGGACAGATGGGAATAAATGAACATTATATTGGGGAAAAAAGATGAGTCCATGGAGGACAAGGGCGGGCTCTAGTCCAGTGTGGCTGCTGCTGTTAGGACGAGGAAATTTGGACACAGGGACGTGCAAGGAGGCGCTCAGTGAGACCGCTGCACCCCAAGGAAGGCCACGGCGCTAGGCAGCCCCAGGAGCTGAGCAGGGGCTTGCACGTGTCCCTCCAGGGCCCCAGGTCTCGGACTCACGCACCCAGGACTGCGAGGCCGTCAGCGTCTGTTCAAGCTGCCAGGGTGGCCGCCTCGCCTTCGTCTATGAGTAGTTTCTTAGGGGGCAAGGGGGAAAAAAATCAGGATAAGTGTAACAGCGTTATCAATTAAATATAAGTAAAAATACAATTTTTTCTTTTTATTCTCACCCGAGGACTTTCTTCTCATTGCTTTTAGAAAGGAGGGGAGATAGAAATATCAAAGCGACGGGAGGGGTAGGGCGGCGGGCACCCGCACCGAGCGCGCGCCCTGCCCCGGAGTCCGACCGGTGATACTTTCTCTACCGGCGGCACCTCAACCGGCAGAGCCCCGCTGCCCGGGCAGAGTGCAGTTTCTGGTAGCCGTCCACATCCTCCGCCGTAAACGGAGGGGAACCCTGGCACGTGTTCGCGGCCCGGCGGTGCCTACCAATCCACAATCAACCCCCGCCCCCGCGCGCCGCGGGGCCTCCGGCGCGGGGCCGGAATTGGCTCAGGAAGAGCCCGCCCCCACCCGTGGCGTCAGCTGACGTACGGGCCGCCATTTTTCTTTTGCCATTTTTTTTTTTCTCTTCATTCATTACGGTCATGTTGTGGAGGCCTCGGCTCCTGCTAATCCTGGCCGCGGTGAGTAGGTTTTTGGCCGTGGCGTGGCGCGGAGAGGCCTGGGTGCGACCCCAGGGAGGCCTGCGGGGACTCCGAGCGCGGGCGGGGTGCCGACCGCTACTTTCCGGGGTGCCGGGTCGGAGCTACCAGCCGCCGGGACGAGCGCAGGGCGGGAGGGCTTTAAGGGGGCCTAGCGGTCAAGGGGACTCTGGCCTCAGCTCTGCCCTCACTGCCGGCTTGGCTGCCCTCGGTCAAGGCCCCGGGAGGCCGTTCCTAACCAGCCCGGGCCGATACCCCGGCAGGTGGGCTCCGGCGCTGCGGGCAGGACTTGGGCCGCTGGCGGGGACGCGGGAACTTCCGGGGGAGATTTCCATGGCCAAACCCACACCGGCCGCGGATGGGGCAGACACTTTAATAACTCCCGACTTTTATTTGCTAAAAACCGGCTCAGCCGTTTTCTCACTACCTAGCGTTTGCTTAGAAATGGTTTCGTACAGGTACTAGGTTTCAAGTGTCGCCCTTCTCACAATAATTGATGGATGGGTTTAGTTTTTTTTCTTTAAGAGAGAGGGCGAGCCAGGGAGGAAAAGGACGGCGTGACTCTTACCCCAACCCTGGACCGGGCCCTCAACCCAAACCTGGGCCCTGACCAGAAATCGATCCTGCGCCCTGTTTTATGGTTTGTGACGACTGCGGGTGTGGCTTGTGACGACTGCGCGTGTATTTTGTGACAACTGCGGGTGTGGCTTGTGACGACTGCGCGTGTATTTTGTGACAACTGCGGGTGTGGCTTGTGACGACTGCGCGTGTATTTTGTGACGACTGCGGGTGTGGCTTGTACAGACTGTGGGTGTGGTTTGTAGGACAAAACCCTGCTGCTGGGCAGACCGAGTGCTTTTGAAACCAGCGCACAGATAGGTGTCTCACTCTGACGTTGTGTGGAACTCCCATCGGCCTCCAGTCACGGGAGGTTATGTCTGTTCTCAAAGCCAGACCCGGCTCCGGTGTGGACTCTGACCTTCCAGAGGGGCCGGGGAAGCCTGCCCCCAGCTCGGGCAGCAGCCTCAGCCATGTGGCAGCGGCTCCCAGCTGCCTGTCTGTATGTAGTGAGTCCTGCCTGCGTGGGCCCAGCCCCAGGGCCAACTCAGAGCGAGCTCGGGCCCTGCCCTGCCCTGTGGGCCGCAGCTGCCAGGACAGTGGTCCCTGGTGCCCCATAGCACTGCTGGCAGCTGTCCCCTGCAAGGCCACTTTTCGGAGCTGGAAGGGAGCCTTTTCTTCTCTGACATCTGGGAGGGCCGCCCTGTCTTCAGGGCACTGTGCTCCTTGTCCTGCACCCTGGAGCTTCCGGGCCAGGAGCTCCCCTACTCCTTCCCCTTCTGGGCTCAGCCCACCGCCTGCTGGACAGGGACGCAGGGCACAGGCCTCTGTCCTATGTGTGTCCCCCCCCCACCCCCCGGGCAGCTGCTGGGCCTGGGTTCTCAGGTCCGCCATCCTGAGCCTCTTCACAGCAGGCTGTGGCGGCCGGTGACCCTGCCTGGCCTCCCACGGTCCTTCCACTCCGTGTGGGCGGGCTGGCTGCTGAGGCAGCACGGAGTTCGGGCAGTGGCACGATCTCGGTCGCTAAAGTCCTCAGCTTTCTTCAGGGTCCCCAGGGCTCCACACTTGCCAGGGGCTGTGATTCCCACAGGGGAGCGGTGATGGGTGGGCTAGTGTCTAGGGCCTTTCTAGGGCAGGAGGGGAGGGGCTGGTGGAAGGAGCTGGGGCTGCGGGGCCAGGAGGGAGACCCTGCTGTGTGAGCCCGGGAGGGCGGTGGGTGCCGGGCGAGGTGGGTTGTGGGTGGGTGCCGCAGTCCAGCTGCAGCCGGATCCGGGGGTCCCGAAGGTGGGTAAGGCGTCAGCGATGGGAGACAGACAACTACACGACCCAGAGGCAGTGCAAAGCTCTTCCGCTTTGTTGCCATATATCTTATATATTTTCATTTTTGGCGAGCATCAGACATTTGCGGTCACATATTGTTGTGGGTTGGCCGAGCAGAAGCAATTACTAAGAGCAGACTTTGTACCTAACTTTGTGCTTTTCCTGGTTCTCATAATTCTGTGGTTCATCAGCTAGCCAATCCTCCCTCCCTTCTTCTTTCCTGAATAAGTAGGGACAACATTTTTTACAATATGTCTGTATCTGCCTCCTCAAGCTATTTCTTTGTTCTTTTGTACGTAAGCACTAGGGGGGTCCTGCTCGTGCCAAGCGTTCCATGAAAGGCAAGCTGGCGCAGGGCATATGTACTCCATCTTTATTGACTCTCCTTATGCCTTCCTGGTAAACTCCTGTATAGGGCAGCGGGGGGTCAGGGGTTCTTTTCATGCTGCTAACTCCTTGAAGGGGATACCACAATTTTCCTTTTATCCAGTAGGCTACAAAAGGCAACCCCTGAGCCGTGGGAAGGGGTCTGTATAACTTCTTTTTATTTTCTTTAATGACCTTAGCTACCAGAGGAAGAGACACGGGAGTATAGGCCGGCTCTGTGAGCTCCGCCTGTGGTCGTTCATCTATAAACTGTTTCTCAGGGATATTCGGGGGGAATTTCCTTGCTAACTTAACTAGTGAATTGTTAGCACAATCTGGACACGCAGTTACAGGTGATTCGGGAGTGGTGGTGACTGTGTCTAGTCCTGTGGAAGCTAGAATTACATCCGAGGCTCGCCTGTCGGTTTCATTCTCATGTGTCTTATTTATCTTTCCCAGGTCGATCATATATACGGTGAAAATTATGACTCCTAGTAATATAATTCCCTTACTACCAATTATCCCTATGCCGCGTCCTCTTCCCGGAGGACGCTTTCCTTGAAGCTTCTCTCCCCAAATCCGGACCTGGTTAGACAATATGGCTGGAAGCGGATGCGGCAGGTGGGGAGATGGGCGGCCTTGGTCCTCCGCAAGGCGACGGCTGCAGGAGGGGAATTGGGTGCTCGCATCTGGCGTGAACTTTGCGGGGTCACCACAAGAACTCGACAAACAGGAGAAATGACAGTTTGAAGTGGTGCCGTAGGGTTGTGTGCCTGAAGCCAATATAATTTTATTAACCAATGTCACTCCAATAAGTTCTGTAAAATGAAAATACTTTGATGCAGTGTATTTTAAAAGAAAAATTCGTGCATAAAAAGAAGCATGATAAAAGCCTAGAGACAGTCCAAGTAAAGAGAGAACGCGAACCTGCCGCGGCCTGACCCTGCTCCCCGGGCCCATAACGCCACATTTATAACAGCGGCCGCCGTGGACACGCAAGACCGCGTTCTCCGCGTGGCCCAAGCAAGGCCCATCCGCAGGGGGCGCAGTGCTGGGCAGGTGGCCACCTGCCTCGGCTCACACATGTCCGTGCCCAGGTCCCGGACGTCCGTCGGGAGCAGAGGCCTCTTTGGATAAAGTCAGTCTCCTTCTCGCTGCAGGTGACCATAGCGACCAGTGGGCCCCCATGTGACACTGGCAAGTATGAGTTCCGTGGCCTCTGCTGCGACCTCTGCCTGCCTGGTGAGTGTCAGCTCGTCCTCCCGAGCCTGCGGCCAACCTGTCCCGGGGCAACGCTGGTGGGTGGGCCTCTCCTCGCCAGCTACCCGCCCGACTGCTGTGCCCCACCCTCCTGGCCCTGCACCCTCCTCCGGCTCCCGGTGAACAGAGGGGGGCTGTGCTTCCTTTTGAGGTGGGCGAGGAGCACTCATGGGACTTGGGGGACAGACATGGAGTGTGCGCCCTTGCTGGGCGCGCCCACAGACCCTCCCGCAGGGCCCAGCCCCTGTCAGGCGCTGGTGACGGACTCTGGAGGAGGGGAGGCTCCCGGGGACGCGGCCACTGCTCTCTCCTGCCCAGCGGCTCCACGCAGGCATATTCCTCTCGTGAAGAAGCCTTCAATTAGCCCGTAAAGCAGCCGGAGCCACGGGCCCGCAGGGGGACCTGCTCAGAGGCCCATAGCTCCCACCCCTGTGCACACGCACAGTGTGTGCATGTGATCCGTGGCCCTGCCCTCAAGGCGCTCCCCTTTGAAGGGGCAGCCCGCACCTGCACCTTCACGTCGGACCCTACACCCACCCTCCCATGCACCTCCCCCGAGCCTGAGCCTGAGCCTCCACAGGGCTCCCAGGTCGGGCACTGAGCCCTGCACCCAGACCGCTGTAGATACACCTGAACGCACGTGCACACACCTGAACACGCCATGTTCAGGAATGAAAGAGACATGAAACCCGGTGCGCTCTTAGCACGCGTGCAGAGCGCGTGCTGTCGCGGCCTCAGCAGTCTGCGGGCGGGGCGCGCACCTGCGTGTGGGCGTCCAGGGCTGCCCTGCGCCCCGGCCCGGACGCTGCGGAGCGGCCCTGAGCGGGGGGGTGCAGGCTCAGGGGGCACACTCTGCGCCCTGCTTACCCAAGTGCAGATGCTGGGAAGAGCCAGGGACGGGTCAGGTCCCTAGTCCTGGGACATGTGGAGCCGGGTGTCAGTCCAGAAGTTTCCAAGGACACAGGACACGGGAGGTGAAGTTGTAGCTGGGACGGGTCCTGGCCCCCAGCTCACCTCTGTCCTCCCATCTCAGGCTTCTACGTCAGCAGAGACTGCGTATGCAGCCCGTGTGAGCCCGGCTTCTTCACTGCCCACCACAACCGGGAGACCTCGTGCCTGGCGTGTACCGAGTGCCATGAAGGTGAGAGGCAGCTGGGAGGCACGGGGCCCCTCCGGGGTCTAGGCCCTCCCTGCTCCGCCCCGGTTCCGAGGAGGCCCTCAGGGCCCGTGTCAGGCGAGCAGCGTGACCAGGCGGCCAGGGCGCGCCTCCGCCAGGATGCTACAGGGCTGGGTGAGGGGCCGCCCGGGCCCCCGGGCTCACCGCGGCCGCCTGTGGAAGTGACGCGCAAGGGTTCGCCCCATGCCACTGGGGGGCAGCAGCAGGGCATTTTGGAAAATGTTACTTTGGAAAACAGGCACCGTTTACACCAGCAAAAACAAGAATGGGGTGCTTTGGAATGAATTTAGCAAAGGATGTGCGAAACATTTACTTGAACAAACCATGCTGAAGGTCATCTCCACGTGCAGCGCGTGGAGACAAGATGAGGGAGGAAGACTCGCATCTTCAAGACGACGGTTCCCCACGGAGAGGGTCTGCGGGCTGTGCGTCCGGGGGCACCAGCCAGCCCGTGCTGTGCGCCTCAACACACGCAGCTTTTCCTTTTGAAAATCCCCAACCGGAATTTTATGAGCCTGGATACGCGGACGAGCGTGAAGCCCCAGCTGGCTGCCCCGCAGGCTGGGGTTTTGTACAGACTGTGAAGGGAGCTCAGCCCGCTGTCACACAGGTGTCCGCGGTGTGGCCACGGGATGGAACAGGGAGCCCGGAGACGCCCCACGGCGTCTGGCCCTGTGAGAGCCCCGCGTGGCTGGGACGGGTTGCCCCCTGTCCCCAGAGGAAACTTCCTGTGTTTGCACCTGCACGTGGCGGGTCGTTTTGGTCTCCAGCGGGGGCGGTGGTCCACGTGATTCTTACTTCTAGCTCGCAGACCGTTCATAGTATTTCAGTGGGTTAGATGGGAAGACAAGGCCACTCGGCCGGGCATTTTGAAAACGGTCCCCTCCATAAAAGGGTCTGCCCCAGGGAGGCTCCAGCGCCCAGTGGCGGGCCTCACCGGCCCCTGAGCCCCGCGCGTGCGGAGGGTGTCCTCCTTGTGACCGCAGGGCTCCACCAGCAGGTGGCGGTGCAAGGGCTCCTCTGTGGTCCGTCCTCCGGGGCAGGCTCCCGGCAGGAGCACCCACTGGTGCTGGCTCTTCCTTTGGGGGCAGACGCGCTGAAGGAGTCGTTTGGGGGTGTTGCCCTCCCAGCCCGGATGCAGAGCCACACTCTGGGCACTGCACAGGTGCCCCCGCTGCAGAAACTAAGGTCTGGTGGTTCTCTCATCGCCCCTGAACGTGAGAACGGAGGGCAGCGCAAATCCGATGCCTGCGCCTGGGCGGCCACACGTGGCCAGCGTGGGTGGGGACAGGGCCCCAGCCGTGGTGACTGACCCCCAGCCTTCCTCCCAGCAGACCAAGAGGTTGTGGCTGAGTGCACCCGGGACAGCAACCGGCGATGCCAGTGCAAGACCGGGAGCTTCTACTGCGACTCCCCGAACTGCGTGGAGAAGTGCCACCGCTGCACCAGGTGCGGCCTCGGGCACCGCCTGGGCCTGGGTCCCCCTCCCCTGCCGCTGCCCGGTGCTCAGTGCGTCCTCGGGGCCGGGGCCCACTCTCCGCAGCGGCTGAGGCTGCTGCGGCCGCAGGCAGTCACAGCTGAGTGACAGCGCTGGGTCCCTGAGGGGAAGGGGAAGCAGGGACCTACTGCGGGCAGGTCTCTGGAGCGGAGGCCCCGAGGGAGAACGGGCGAGAGCCGTGAAAAGTTCCGGAGGGAGGGAGCTCTGGGCAGGGAGAAGAGTGAGGACCGTGCCCTGGGACACCGAGTGACCTCTCTCCTCGCCTTGTCCCGGGCTCTGCCGTCACAAAGGCCGGCACTGGCTGGCTTCAAACAGCAACAGAAACGGGTCCTTTTGCAGTTCTGGTGACCGGAAGTCCCCGCTCTCGGTGTCGGCAGGGCCATGCTCGCACAGAGGCTCTGGGGACGATCCCGCCTGCCTGTGCAGCTTTGGGTGGTGGCTGGTGCTCCTTGGCCTGTGGGCTCATTGCTGCGACCTCTCCTTCTGTCTCCGCACCATCTGCCGCGTCTGTCGGTGTCTCTGCTCCGCCTCTCTGGGCGCAGGTGTCCCTCCTGTAACGACGGGGTCGCTGGCGAAGGCCGGCCCTGCTCCGGTATGACCTCGGCCAACCGTAGTTTTATCCACAAAGCCCCCGTTCCTAGATACGGTTTCATTCTGAGGTTCCGGTGGGCGTGGATTTGAGGGGGCTTCTGGGGGTTACCACTGCTTGCAGAAAAGCTCCGTTTTGTGAGACGCAGCGTAGGCTCTTCCTCGCGGCTCAGCTGCATTGACGTGTCTGTCGGCCCTCGCACCTGACAGGTCCAGAGTCAGGGCTGCTTGCAGGCTGGGCGGGTTGGGTCTGGCTTCTCTCGCCTCGCTCGCTGTCCCTGTCTCCATGGGCTTCGTCTTGGGGGGACCCTTCTTGGTAGAGACACAGCTACGGCAGGCCCCGCCCTCAGAGCCACGCATAGCCTCTTTCAATAACAGTTTGTGGGGTGGTGCTCTTCCCCAGACACCTGAGGGTCCCTGGGCTCCACTCGTGGAACTACTGGGGGCTGTGCAGCCTGGGAAGGCCAGCATGGGCAGCCCCGGGGCCGGGGGCCGGGCAGGGCGAGTGACGGGTTCTTTGCCCTTCCCTCCCAGGTGTGACGGCCCCACCCTTCAGCCATGCAATGCAACAAGGGACACCGTTTGCGCCGCCCAGGGCAACCCACGGCCAGGTAAGCGGCCGCCCCCACCCCTCCACTCTGGATGGACAGACAGTGTGAGCGTTCGGGCCCGTGGGCCGTGGGTGTCGGTATCGGCTCTGCCGCCGGAGCGCACCGAGCTGGGGACGGCAGGCGGGCGGCGTGCTTGGCAGGCTGGCAGTGAAGCGGCAGTTACACAGCGGCAATGGGCGGGGTTCCACATGCCGGGCAGCAAGCACGCAGGGCCGGGGCGCACCTGGCTGCTGGACGCCCACTCCCCTGCGTGGGGCACTGCGGGCGTCAGGCTGCGCCTCCCGGGGCGACCTGGCCGCCTGTCGGCACTGCCCTGCCGCACGTTCCCAAGCTTCGCCGTGGGACATGGAGGGCTGGGTCCAGGAGCCTGCGGGCTTCTCCTCCGTCAGTGCACCCTCGTCCCATCTCCTGTCCTCTGTCACATCGTCCCCGCCACCCTGCCAGGTCCCTGCCCTCACGGGCATTGAGGTGTGACGTGGACACTTGTGGTGGGCCCGTGCCGGCGGCGGATGCGATGACCAAGGCCTTTGGGCCCTTGTGTTGAGTCTGCACAAGAGTCACGCCCATTTTTGTATTGGGCTCTGTTTGTATCTGGGGTCATTTCTAATTTCTGATCATGATTTATTAAACACGAGTAATTACGTGTGAATTCAGGACACAGGCCCCTTGTTCTAGAACGCCCCCCCCCCGGTGCCCTTGTACCCAGGGAGCGGGGTGCCGCGATGACAGGCCCTCCGTAGGGACGCTCCCAGTCTCACGCTTTCCTGGTGCGGTCAGCGCTGTGTGGGGCCCGTGAGAAACCGGCGCGCGCCCGAGGCGGCGGCGGCCACATGGTCTCTGCCAGGACTCCCTCGCCCGTCTGACAGCGACCTGGGACTGGTGTTCCGCGCTGCGAGGCGGGGCCCGTGGTCCGAGGGTGCCTTCCACGTGCAGGCGGCGCGGGGCCGGGAGCCGCACTCCCATGTGGGCCGCCGCCACCAGCCTGTCCGGGGCTGCCTGGGCTGCTCTCAGGCTGGGGGTGTCCGCAGAGTTGGCTCATGAGTTTCCATTCAAAATTGTTTCTAAACCACACAAACACTTAAAAGAACGTTTTAACGTCTAAAAAAAACAAACTGCTTAGGGCCTAAACTGAGAGTAAAGAAAAGCCGCTTAGACAATAGTCACACCATGTGGAAGAGCCGGGTGGCCGCGCACCCGAGGTTTGGGTGGTCCTGCGCCACCCCCGTGTCTGTCCCTTGCTCCCTGTTGGCGCTGTAATGTAACCAGCATTAGACCTGGTGCCCTGAGTGCTCCCAACAGGCCTTTGCTGGGGGAGGACGCTGCCCTGTCCCGCGGGCCACGCAGGCCAGGCCGCTGCGGCCAGGACGGGCTGTCCTCGCGGCCTCCGACTTTTCCTCCTTAGGCCTGGGGCCGCAGGATTTTGGCCACTCTTCTGGGGGGACAGTCACCCCCTACAGCCCTCTGAGCCTGGCCCGCCTGCCCTGGGAGAGTGTCGGGGGCCTGGAGAAGGAAGCGCCCCAAATCGCGGGACTGGGCAGCGGCCTTCTGTAGCGTGTCCCTCGGGTGAAGGGGCCTGCTTACCAGGCGCTGGCACCCTCTGCCCCTTCCAGGAGACCCGCCCAGCTATCACGCCAACGGCTCCGATAAGGGGACTGCAGTGGTGGTGTTTGTCAGCGTCGTCATCGTTGTCATCATCATTACTGTCATCGTTATCTACTGTACAAAACGAGGTACGGCAGAGGTAGAGCTATCCTGGCACCACATCAGGAGCTGCAAAACGGGGGCTCCGCCCCCAGCCCCCGGCGGGGTGACTTTTGTTGAAAATACAGCTGCTCCCACATTCTAACTTGCCTGCTGTGTGTCTGGGCGGGTGCTCTGGGCAGGGAGCCGTGCGCCGCGTGCCCGCCCACGCGCAGCGCTGCAGACCAGAGTCCCGGGCCGTGGGCCGAGACGGGACCTCAGCGGTGCCCTCGGCCGGGATCGCGAGTGGGTGTTGCTCCCGCCCGGGGCCCTGGAGCAGGAGGGCGCCCCGCGAACGCTCCCCTCCCCGGTGTTCGCAGGTGTGCCGTTGCCCCACCTGGTGGTCCGTTGGCTGAAACGTAAGTACACTTTCTTTGTTATGCTCTCGAGGCCTTTGCTTCACAGAAATCCTTGTCCAGGGAATGTCAGCTATAATCGCGTGCCACGTGACACAGGGACAGCCTCCGAGAAACGTGTCCTTGGGCGGTTTCTCGTGGAGCAGACATCACGGTGCGTGCGCACCTGGAGGGTGGAGCCTGTTGCCTCCAGCACCTGTAGCCCGCAGGTGACCGATGCCGCCCGAGGGTAAACCGGGCACGTGGGATAGTGACGCAAGCAGCAGGTGTGGTACACGTGTGCCCTGCGCATGCGGCCGTGGCGTGTGTGGCTTGGCTGCGGCTCCCCCACCCCCACACTCTGCTGGAAGAGGGACACCCCCGGCACCGGTGTCGGCGCAGTGCGGGGGATCCCACCTGGCATGCGGCGCTTCCGCTCGCAGAGGGCAGCCCTGCCCGGAGCCGAGTGCTGGTTTCCTTACGGCTGCCATGCGGCAGGTCGGTTTCCACCGCGTCGCTGCCGACGCACAGGCAGTGTGTTGTTGCCCTGTGACGGGACAACGTCACTGGCAGGTGGGCGCGTTTCAGCCCCACCGTGATCTGCGGGGACCGCTGTCCTCCTCGGCCGTCCTTCAGCGGGGCCCCCGCATGCAGTGCCTGACTGTGTTTCCATTTCCTTCTCTTTGATTTTCAGATGAGTCGGGGGACTCGGGCAACCCTGTAAGTACCCCCTTGGCTTTTCCCAGTGGCGTCCTTGGGGCTGGAGGGCAAAGGAGACCCCTCAGGGTGGGGGTGGAGACCGGCCCGTGCCCCCGCCGAGGGCACAGCTTGGCTTTCCGGGCGGCGTCCACGTCCCCTCCGGGCAGCTGGGCATCAGTCTGGGCCCGGATGCCCACTCTGCTGGTCCCGACCGCCGAGTGCAAACAGGGCGCGGAGGCCACGGTGCCTTGTGCGGTTCTCCCGGGGCCGCCAAAATGGCCCCCCAGACACGGGGCCGAGAAGTGCGGGAGCTTCCTGCCTTCGGACCTGCAGCCAGAGTCCGAGTCCAGAGCTCGGAGGGGCCAGCTCCCTCTGAGGTCCTGGGGGTGGGTCCTGCCTCTCCGCTCGCCTGGCCTGCGCCTGGGGCGGCCCCGCAGCCCGTGGTGGCCCCGCAGCCCGTGGTGCTCCTCGGCGCGTGGGCGCGTCAGCCCAGGGTCAGCCTCTCGCCTCCTCCCCGTGGTCTGTCTCCTTCTAAGGACACCCCGCGGTCACTGGGTTTAGGGCCCAGTCTCATCCAGCGCGGCTCCGTCCATCTGCAAGGACCTCATTTCCAACGAGGCCGCGTTCTCGGGTCCCTAGGGTCAGGGTGTGGGTGTATTTTGCTGGTATAACCATTCAGCCATGACCCACCTGTCTTGGGGTCATGACCGCGGGGGCACGGACTTGGTGGCCCAGCAGAACCTATCCCCACAAGGTAGTGTTCTCTCCAACTGCACAGCCCTGGCTGACCTATAAGCTACCTGGGCGTTTTCCTGCTGAAGTGGCTCGGGAAAGGCTGTGCTGCAGGCCCTTGTCATCAAAAAATGGACTTTGTTCTTTACTCACAGGAAAGCACCGAGCCCAGGATAAGTCTGCTGTCCACGCATGCTGAACATGGCCGGCCCACCCCCGGCGTGGACACCGCCCCGCTGCTGGAGCACTGGGGCTCGGCTGAGGCACCTGGGGCCGAGACCTGCCCGGGTCCCTCTGAAGACCCCGAGGGAGGCATCCAACGACAGGTGGTGGTGGACGGAGGGAGCGGGGCCGCCCCAGAGCCGATACTGCAGACCCAGGCTCCCGCGGCCCCCGGGCGCCCGGGCCAGGCCGGGGTGGTGGCCCCCATCAGTGTTCTGGAGCAGGTGCGTGGGGCGTGTGGGCGGGTCCAACGGACAGGGACGCCTGCGCATGTGGAGTGCTCGCAGCGTGCGTGCACGGTGTGTGCAGTGCAGCTGTGCGTTCTCGTAAATCCTTGTCTGAGCTCCTGGGGTGACCGCCACGCAGCTGCACAGACCAGGCAGCTTAAACGACAGGAGGTTACCGTCTCCCCGTCCTGGTGGCCGGGTGTCCAAGATCAAGGGGTCGGCCGGGCGGTGAAGGGGAGTCTGGTCCAGGCCCCACCTGGCTTCTGGGGGTTTCCACCAATCCGTGGGCTCCTGGGCTTGTAGACGCTCTGCCGCGGTCCCTCCCCCAGGTTCCTGGGGCATCCGCCCCGCGTGACTGTCCGTGTCCCCGAGAAAGGGCAGCGGCATCCGCGCGTCAGGGCCTCGTCCTAACGGGTCACATCCACAGCGACCCGGCTGCCAAGTAAGGTCCCCTTCACAGCTGCTGGGACCAGGGCTTCTGCACCTCTGGGGCACACAGTGCAAACTGTGACAGCCCCAGTCCAGCCTGTGCTCCAAGGGGACCGTGACTCCCAGAGGCCACCGAGACCCAGGGTGTGTCCTCTCCGCGGTCTCCCAGCCAGGAGGCGGCTGCCTGGAGGAGGCCCAGCCCACCGGCGCAGGGCTCTCTGAGGCCTCGTGGCCCGAGTGCCCCCGGTGTGCCGGGCGTGGCGTCCGCAGCAGCTGGGGCCAGAAGCCGGGCACCCACCCCGCACGTGGGCCCCGCGGGGCGGAAGTGGGCGCCATGTCCAGCCTGGCCCCGGCGAGCCGGTGTCATCCCCTCCGCCCCCCGTGGGGCATGAGGAGGCGGTGACACCTGGGTAGGACTGGACAGGACGAGCAGGTGTTCCCTGCGGGGCCCGGGGTGGGGGTAGGGTGGCGGCCGTGGGGAAGCAGGGGCAGAGCGTGCGGTGTCTCGGGGGGGGGGGTCCGTCTGCGTCCGGTCCGGTCTCGGCGTCCCTGAACCAGAAAGCTGCTGTTGGTCACCGTGCCCTGTGAGGACTGGCGTCCTCCCCATTAGTGTTGTGCTCAGCCGCGCAGGCCACCCCCAGGTCACGTGCCCCGGGCCCAGGCTGTGTCCTGGCAGAGTGTGGCCCAGAGGGCAGGTGGCCTGTGAGCTCTGCTGCTTCGGAGGGGACGGGCGGGCGCTCCAGGCCCGGCTGCGGGGCGTGGTCTGGAGGCCCGGCTGCCCTGCCGCCGCTCCTCCGGGAACTGGGCGGTGGCCCTGCTTCCCGGGGGTCTCTCAAGGAAGTCACCCAGGTGTCTGCCCTGCAACAATCATATTCCCCTCTCTCCACAGGAATATCAACAGAACTATGTTCTGAAGGACCGGTCCCCCGAAGGTGAGTCCTCCCAGGTCTTCCTTTGTAGTGACTGTGTAGGCGTGAGTGTCTAGGCACGATGTCCTCCCTCCTGGGAAGCGGGACCATGTGCCCACACGGAGCTCAGGGAACTTCCTGTGGACGTCAACGCGCTGACGGCCACCGCTGACATCAGGGAAACAGGCCCTCGTCAAAGACAAGTTTTGTTCACAAAGACTGCACGTTGCTCTGCCCCGTAGTGCGTTTGTAGGTGTGGGCACTAAGGGCGGTGGTGGTAGGAGTGCCCAGGTGACCCCGGCCTGGGGGGTCCCCGTGGGCTGTGACGCCGCCGCCAGCAGGTAAGGGCGAGGCTTTCGTGGAGCACAGCCAGCCTGCCAGGCGCTGCTCCTGCGCCCGTCCCCTCTGCCGGCTCTGTGAGGCCACTGTGTGGCGGATTTGCGGTGAGGCAGTCCGGAGCCGGCTGGGTTACAGACCTCGCCCCGGGCCTCGGGTCCAGCCTCCGCCGGCCCGGCCCCGGTGCCCTCGGCAGCCTGGTCGAGCTGGAGAGGAGGGGCCAGCCTCCGCGGGCCCTGGGCCTCCCACCGTCCGGGACCCGCAGGCCCTTCCGCCGGGCTCCTCGGCTCCGTGTGAATGAGCCGCAGGCCTGGCAGGAGCCTGGCCAGGGCCAGCCAGAAACGGTCCCAGCGGTTGCCTCGCCTGCCTTGCGGAAACAAAGCCAAGCCTCCCTTCTCGATCCTTTTGCAGCCATCTACACGATCTACTGTGTGTTTGGGCAGGAGGTTCCCCAAAGTCACTGGAGGATGTTCATGAGGTTTGTTGGACTGGAGGAAAACGACATCGACATTTGTGAGCAAGAGAACTGGGGAAACGTGGCGGAGCAGCACTACCAGATGCTGCGGCGCTGGCAGAGCAAGCAGGGGCGGGCCGCGTCCCCCTTCCGACTCCTGGCGGCCCTCCGTAAGCTGCAGCTGCATGAGTGTCTAGAAAACGTTATAAACAAGCTGGTTGACGGAGGTATCTTAGGTAGTAAGCACGCGGAGCCCCCAAACTAGAGTCAGCCTCTTGGGCACAGGGTTCAGAAAGAGCAGTGTCCTGGAGTCTAAACTTTCCCAGGGCCCTTCTCATGGGGACCTGCAGGGATCCCAGATGGGACGGAGCCCCTTCCTTGTCTAAGGACGTCCTACAGGAAGCTTCTGATGGGGGAGGTCCGTGCAAGCCACAGGGCTTCTCTGCCAGCTCCCGGAGAGTCCGGCTGCCCCCCAGGGAACTCGGGGTGGGTGGGGCTCTGCGCCTCTTGGGAAGGGACCCGCGGACTGCGTTCCTGGCCGGGGGGCTGGCCGGTCATCTGTCTGCCCCCCTCGCTAACCCCTCGGTCTCCCGGCCATGTGTTCCGCGGGCCTGAAACTGGGTGCACCCTCCCCGGGTGATGTGTAATAACTAAGCCCATGACAGACGGGCGGCAACTCTCAGCCGTCGTTAGATTAGCGGGGGGGAGGGGCTGGTGCACATGGGGACAATTACTGTCCTGTGCCAGCTATAGAAACCTGTTTACGGTTTTTTTAAACACATAACCATGTATACTTTTATAATCTTTTAATTAAGATTTACATCTTGAATAGTGTTTTTACAGATTTGTATAATTTCCATTTTCCTAGTAAAATTTCTGTACGAAATCATGTTTCCTGTCCTTCCTGCTGGTGCCTCCTGAGGGTGCGCTTTCCTTGGAAGGAGAGGCCGCACGGAGGCGCGGGAGCCGAGGGTGCGGTTTGTGGGCGCAGAGGCCGGAGGCTGGTTGGTGGCGTTCCCTGGGGCCACGCTGGATGTGTCAGCGGCTTGCCCTCCCCGGGCTCATCTGCAGGACAGTCCGCTCTGCCTGGAATGCTCGCCCCATCCGTCCCAGATCCCTTCTGAGCCGCCTCGGAACTGGTTGTCCATCCAGGGCGTCCTCTCTGACCACCTGCCTGGGGCTCGTCCCCACACCTTTGGGGTCAGTGCTGACTTCAGCGCGCATGCACGGGATGATGACCTGTCCTCGCTGCTCGTCTCTCCGCCACGAGACTGCGACTTCGGCCCCTCGCGCCGTGGGGGGCCTCTTGGCGGGGCCATCCTCCCCAGCACCGACAGTGGTCCAGGCCCCCGGCCGCTGCCAAGTAAAGACCGACTCCCCGCGTGCCGCGGGCCTGCGGTGTCCATCCCGAGGCCGTTGCCTAGCGACCAGGCTGTGCCCGAGGGCCAGCCAGGCACGGGGTGGGACTTTTGGGCAGGCAGTTGCTCAGACCCTGCAACACAGTCTCTGCCGGTGCGGGGTCTCCGAGTGCCAGGGTGACGGGGTTTTCCGCGGCGCAGGACGAGTGCGTGCGGCGGGGCGCGCGGGGGTGACCGCAGCCCGGGGGGGTCCTCGGGCGGGATAGGAGGTGACCTCGGTCTCGAGGGGCGGGCCCCTGGGCCAGGCGGGCCTGCAACTCGGGGGCCTCTCCTGCCTACGGGGCGGAGGGGAGACCGCGGGACCCCCGCGGGCTGGGCCTGAGGTCATGACATCCTCTGGGGAGTGGCCCCTGGCGCGAGCCCCGCAAGGCCACTCCCTGGCCAGCATCAGTCCGCCATTGGGTTGTGCCAGGGTCCTCTTGCGCCCGAAACCCGAGGTGGCCTTGCGTGTCCCCAGCCGTGCCTTGTCCGGCCGCCCCGGCCAGACTTCGGGGACAGGCCGCGCCCGAGGGGTGCTGGGGTTCCCGCCGGGCCGGGCAGCATCCCGCGGGTGGGCGGAGGGCGTCCCGAGTTGGCACTTAGGAAAATGGAGCTGGGAAGCGCCAGGTACGCGACACACATGACAAGGCTTGGGGTTTTATGACGGCTTCACCGCGGCCGGCAAGCGGCGTTATGACCCCTTTTATTGGCCCGGAGGTTCTGTGGGCAGCTCCGGCCCTTCCGGCCGAGTCCCTGGCGTCCGTGGGGTAGCCGCGGGCGTCCGCAGGCTGGCCCCCCAAGACCCCGGGTGCAGTGCTGGCAGGAGCAGAGCGTCACCGGTTCCTGGCGGTTGGGTGCGCACCTTCTTCAGGGCGAACGCTGCGTGTGGGTTTTGGTCCCTTGGGCGGCGGAAAGGAGATGCCAATTCTTCTGAGACCCCCGGCGGCCGCCGGCAGTTCCTTGGCCCCTGTGGTCCCCCTGCTCCCGACGGCGCGCTGGGTGGGTCTCCAGGTGGGGAGCTCGCTGCCGCGGGAGGCACCCAGGCGACAGGCAGCTGAGCCGCCCCAGCACCCCCGCCGGGGCTCCCCGCTCGCCACTGACGGGGTGTCTGGGGGCCAGCGCCGCGCCCCCCGCCGGAGTCCAGCAGGCCTCACACATCCCCCCGCAGCCGCGGTTCCCAGCGGGACTGCGGAGCCCGCAGGCTGGGCCGGGGTCCCAGCCCTGCGCCTCCCTCAGCGGCCCGCGGGGTCACGCCCCCTCTCACCGATGTGGGGGTCCAGGGGTGGGGGACAGAAAGGCCTTGGGGGCGCCGGGCCGGGATAGGCTGCCCAGGCGGAAGAGTGCAAGCTGGGTTTCTGCTTTCAGATGGGGTGTGTTCTTGGTTCATTTTTTCATGTAGGCGACACTGTTTTTGTGTCTCGTTTCTTTCGTGGCTTCAGAACTTGAGCTTGTCTGAGCCTTGGTGAGAATCTTCCTGTTTTGTTGGACCACGAGGCCTGGGGTGGGATTCGCCCCCCAGGAGGCCCAGGCGCTGGCAGGCTTCCGGGTCCCCACCCTTCACCTTGGAGTGTGTCCCGGCCGTGGACAGGCCAAGGGTGGTGTCCCTGTGTGCCTCCAAAGCCAGCTTCTGTGGTGCCCACTTGTTTGTTGATGTTACTGTTTTCAGGCTCCTCGTGGCGACCCGTGCCCCCGTGTCCGTGAACGCGAGGGGTGTGGGGGGCCCTGACCCAGCACCAGCATGCGCTCCCGCTCTGAGCAGTAAGAGTCAGTCCCCAAAACGGGTGTGAGAGCTCTCCATGGAAATGAGCCGCCGCAGTGACGGCCTGGGGTTGGCGGCGGCCCCCACGCCAGCACAGAGGGTCCAACCAGACGCCGAGCAGGAAGTCGGCGTAGAGGAAAGCCAGGAGGGAGGGCCAGCGCTGCCCGGGTGCTGGTGGCGCACGGGAGCCTCTGGGCCCTTCGGTGCCTGGATCCGGAAGGCCCCACCCAGGAAATTTGCATGAAGGGGGCTAACGTCCTTTTGTTTTCCCCATTTTGCGGGGGATGTGTTGGTTCTAACACTGAAAGCTTCTGAATAGCTCCGCCCCTCAGGTTTGGAGGGCCAGAGCCTCTCTGGGCCCCATGCCGCCGGGAGGAGGGGCTCCGTCTCAGTTCTACGGCCCAACTCGGTGGCTACGCCTGGACGGTGCTCAGCGTGTGCTCAGGGTCTTCCAAAAGTCTGATCAGACTCTCGTCCTCGTTTTCCTAACCACAAAATTTCGGAGCCAGCCCAGTTGTTCTGACCCAAAGCAGACGCGGGAACATCGTCCTCTCGTCGTCCGCCACCTCGCGGACCCCTTCCTCAAAACGGTAGCTCTTCCTTCCCGCCAGTTACCCAACGGAACCCGCTGTACCACCCAGCGGGAACAAACACACGGGGAAGAGGCCTGAACGGAGGTGCTCGCTGAGCCTGTCGGACACGCCCTGCGCGCCCGTTGCTTGCCTTGCTGCTGCACGAGCGGCCGTTTCTGGCTTGAGCATCACACACCAGGATTGCGTGTCACACGCCAGGATTGCGTGTGACCCAGGGCCGGAAAGGAGCGCAGTCACACCCCTGGATCCCCAGCCTTGGGTTTCCCCTTAGAGTCAAACGTCCCAGGGACTCTCCCACCGCTGGTTGTTTAGAAACAAAGCTCTTTCTGCGGAAGAAAGAACAGAGAATCCGACGTACGTATCCCAACTGGGCGGACCTGGTTAAACGTGACTCTGTCACGTGTTGCCGTTCCAGACGGATGTGTATCAATGTGTCAGTCACCTAGTCTTTCGTCCGACAGGAAAGTCAGTTATTCCTCCATTGACTTCTATGGTGATCGCCGAGAAAACTCGGGATGCGACTTTCAACAGCCATCACTGGCGATGCCGCCCTGGGCCAACGGCTTTGATCGCCTTCCATTTTAAATGTAGGGAAACGGCGAAGCATATTGCTGTTTCTTCCCACCAGCAGTTTCTCGAGCTATCGAATTCCTCCCTTTCCCTGTTGTCCTGCTTCTCCCAGCTGTGACGGCCATTTTCAGTCCCCCTTTCGCTTCCAAGGCGTCAGCCGGCGCACCCAGCTCGCTGTCCGCGGGACAGGGACAGGCACGCGTGTGCCGCTGGCCAGGGGAGTAATGAAATTCCTAAATACCGCAACAGACCTTCTGAAAGAGTTCTCTCGTCCCAGTGTCCCATGGACAGACCCTTTCTTTTTGGTCTGCCGGCCTTCCTTCCTTCCTCTCTCTCTCTCTCTCTTTCTTTCTATTGTTGTCCACGTACAGTTGTCTCCGTTTTCCAGCCCCCACTTTGCCCCGTCCCACCCACTGCCACGCCCAACCCTAACTCACCCCCTTGGGTTTTGTCTACGGGTCCTTGGTACACGTTCCCTGGTGACCCTGCCCGTTCTTTCCCCCCGATATCCACCGCCCCCCCCGGCCCACTCGGGTTACTGTCAGTTTGCTCTTTATTTCCGTGTCTCTGGTTCTATGTTGCTCGCTTGTTTGTCGTGTTGATGAGGTTCCACTTACAGGCGAGATCATATGGTGTTGGTCTTCTGCCGCCTGGCTTACTTCCCTCAGCACAGTGCTCCCCAGTGCCATCCACGCTGCCGTGAAGGGTAGCAGCTCCTTTCTCTCTGCCGTGAGGTGTCCCCTTGTGTGAATGTACCACAGCTTTTTGATCTGCCCATTTACCGGTGGACACTTCGGCTGTTTCCAGCGCTTGGCTGGTGTAAGTGGCGCTGCTGTGAACATGGGGTGCACAGGTGCTGCTGAAGTGGTGTTCGGGGTTCTTAAGGTCCATGCCCAGCGGTGACATCGCCGGGTCAAAAGGCAGTTCCTTCTTTAGTTTCCTGAGGAAATTCCACACTGTTTGCTTTCCATCTGAGCCAGCTGTGTGCTTCACAGTGAAAAGAGCTGATCTCTGTTTTCTCAGTTTCTTGGTGAGCAGGACACGTGGGGCTGGGTTTTCAAAGCTTTTGGAAGCCTAACAAAGTCGAAGCAGATGCATTTGCCATTCTCTGACACAACTACAGGTAGCAGCTCTTATCGGCCGGTCCACCTGAGCTTTCAAACTTCTTCCTTCCGTCCCTGAATTTCTAGGCAATTCCTCAGGGACTGCTCCTATTTTGTGGGAAACGGTATACATTGGGAGCCCGACACACATGGGGCAAAGTCAGATCTCTGCCACTTTGTGGGACTTGGGCGGATGGGGCGGGGGAGGTAAAGCTTTTCTTTCTTTCTTTTTTTTTTTTTTTTTAAGCCCTGGGCCCCTTCTCTCATCTGTAAAATGGGCATGATCCTTAGCTTCTAACATTGTTTCAAGAACTAGC